CCCCAAGAGTTTTGGCTAAACAGATTGCGGCCAACTGTGAAGCATGGTGGTTTAAGCGTGATGGTTTGGGGAGCTGTTTGGGTTAGTGGGAGATCGAGCTTAGTGGAGTGCGTTGGCAACATACATTTTGCGAAATACGTCGAAATATTGGAGGAAGGACTCTTGTCACTTTATTCCTCGGGTTTCGTGGACAAGAACACAACGTTGTTCCAGGAAGATGGAGCACCGTGTCACACTGCTAGAAACACCCAAAAGTGGCAGGAAGAAAATGGAATCAAGAAGTTGCCCTGGCCGAGCCAATCTCCTGACATGAACCCCATCGAAAACTTTTGGGCCATACTCGACCGGCAAGTCAAGAAACAACCAAAAAAAAACCAACTTCGAAGAGCGATCTACTCCAAGTTTTGAAGCAAGAGTGGGCGAAAATCCCACAATCTAAAATTGACGAGATGTTTCTCATGATGCCCCAAAGGATCAACGAACTCCACGAAGCGAAAGGAAGATCTACTAGATATTAATTAAATCATAAATATATCAAATCATGTGAAAAGGTGGTGTCTATTTACTTGTGACCACGCTGTGTATATAGCATTATGAACACATGTTAATACAATGTATTTTTATAATATTTTTTTTTCATAACATGAGTAACTAAAACAGTATGCTTACCCATCGTGTTGTTTAACATAATACAAAATAAAATTCAACAATAGTGAGGTAAGATATAGATTTTGGTCTGTGTAAAAATAACAAAACTTTCTTAAAAGTACGAGTCAGTATTTAAGTGTGAATTTCGAACAATTTTAGTGAAAATAGGATGATTCTTTGACGATAAAATAGGTGTATATGCACAATTAAAATATAATTTCGCTGATCAATAAAGCGTATAGTTGTAATACTTAATATCACCACGAAACGCAACGACTGGAGTTTCCAAAAGTGCTGAAATTTCTTAAATACACTTGCAGTATTTAAAACATTCCATGAAAGACCAATTGACTAACTCGCTGATTTTTATATTCAAGTGTATTACCAAATAACGGACATGGGCTTACTTAATTCGACATTTTTAATATAAGCATTAATTCTACAGGATCTATCAAAATGTTAAATAAAATAACACACCAATAGACGTCAAATAAAATAATAATTACTTAATAATAACAGATGTAATATGACTATATATCAATTATTGACTTTAATTTCATTCATCCTTCTTGTACCCTGTAAAAGAATCCCAGCCCACACGTATAAAACCTTGACAAAATACATTTGTATTGTTACGACAGCGGAAGTCACGCGACCCTGGGAGCATGCGCACTGGAGTTTCTAGAAGGATCATGACTTATCGAGGAACCCCGCGAATGTCCCAGTGTTTGCTAGACGCCCTCTTTTTTAGTATAAAAACCTGGCAAAGAAAACCAGCGATAGGCAGATAGATATGCAGATAGTTTGAAGATATAGATAATTTAGTCAAGCGAACATTTGGCATCGTAAGTAAAGTGTGTGAACCACTGTGATTTATAGCGTGTGTGTTATAAAGGTTGTTAAGTTTAAAGTGATTGTGGAAATTCTGTGTATTACAAAGTTGTATCGAAAAAGAATAAACTAGTTTTAATTAAGAAATGACTTTTATCGTAACAGTATTTTTTCTCAAATAGTCTCAGTTCAAAGCAAATATAAAGTAAAAGCATGGGAATTATTATGGCAAGTGAGATCAATGGACTTATCAACTGAAAATGTGTTTTCGTTTGGTTTGATTCTAATATGAAAATAAAATCCAATTAGAAATATTGCTGAAAGCCGTTAGAAAAACGAAACTTCATTTTCCACTTTATGGAAGACAAAACACTACAGCTGAAACAGACAGTTATAGAAACCATTTCTAGTAAGATGTAAGTTATTTGTTAAATGATATATTTGTACTTTTCACCAGAGATAATACGTTTATTGATTGTGGAAAAGAGGGCCTATACGAATGTTTTCGATAGACAACTCTTTGTTTGGAAAAACATTAGAGCATATAATGTAGTCATTCACTCTCTCATATTATGAGTAAAATTGAGTATTTAAGAACATATAACTTATTCATTTTTCACACGAAACCATAAATGTGCAACAACTATATGAATGCAATGTAAAATATTTTGCTCTTTCAATATCAGTGTAGTTTAAAGGCACCCTCTTTCAGTTAGGTGCCAAAATCTTATGAGATACTAGCGTACAGCCCGTGATAAATGACAGGGCAAGTACTACCACCCCCACCCCATAATATACCCTAACCTCACATTTCATAGGTAAATGAAATAAATACATTTTGCGAAATCAAGCTTGACTAACAAAGAGGCAGAAAAGTGCAGTCGGGGCAGTTAAACGTCGGTAAATTCTTTTGTGAGCCAATCAAAATTAAGATCATTCATGAAATAAATGCGTGACATATTAATAGAATAATTATTGGTAAAGAATCAGTTAGATTAACAACTTCTAATATACAGAAAAACCAGTGCGTTTTGGTAACACTACGTTCCAACAATAGCTTTTATATCATGTTGCTTAGCAACAAAAGTATAACCTAATATTGTTGTTAGTCAATGTACTGAAATTATAAAATGAAATGTGTACCACAAACTGGAAAAATATTTGTTGATTTCTTTATTCAGAGCCTCCGTTGATCAAAGAGGTTTCTTATTTATCCAAAACATTGGTGATATAACAGAAAATAACTTAAATCAGAAAAGACTTAAGTTTAAAATTGAATAGCTATATTTACCTTCATGATAAATTTTATGCACTTGACTCTAGACTAGGAGATCCCATACTACATTTTTACTTTAAGCTTATTGTACCAACGCTCACTACACTTATAAGGTTTCACGGCGCACACCCCTCACGGCCCTCTTGCATCCCCGTCACTAAAATCGTAATGGGCAGACAGTAATCGAACTATTCTATCTGGATAAATGTATTTTGGCTTTCACTACTCCTCTGATTTCGAGAAATCAAGTGTGACGGGATGTGACACACACTGGTTTTTATATAGGTTAGATATATAATAAATTAAATATAACGTCACGTGGACAAGTACTTTCATATTTATTTGTTAAAGGAGACTTTTTTTGTAAGTGTCCCTACTGAAATATACTGTTACATAGAATGATATAAAAGAATGTTTTTTTTTATTTCCCTCTGGTTATATTATTAAAACATTGATCGGGTGCTGTCCTTTGGGGTAGTCGGGGAGCAGACCAGTATGATTCCGAGTTTAGCAGGCAAGCTAGAAAGAAATGTTTTCTTTCCTGTCATGATGTATCCTGAGTCGGCTAGTTTTTGCCAAGAACCATGCCAGTATCTCCGATAATCCTAGACGTATTACCTCCTGATTTCTCCCCGCAACAAATCATCGCCTTTATCGACAAATTTAAACCTGGAGTATCCATCAGCCCTACAAAAACCCGAATCCTTGGACGAGGTGGAATTGTTCTTCAACCCTCAACCCAAGCTGACCTTTCGTACTTATATAACCCATGAAACACTTACCCTACTGTAACCTGCGCAGTCCCAAATAGTTCCACTAATCTTTTTCTATTTTTCTTAGGGGCGTCGACCCTACCATAACACAAGAAGAAATTCAACAGACCATAGAAGAAACCACTAACAACAGGCCATACCACCCACTTCATCAAAGTAGTCACAACATCTAAACTCACAGCGAACTATATTCTTTCTAATGGTTGTTCTTATCACTTTTTTCTATTTCAGAGCCGAACGTCCGCACCTTTGCCCAGCCTATTCTTGTAACAGGATCAGCAAGCCTTCTCCTCGTTCATCTGAAACCAATCGATCACCGAGCTACACACTGAACCACCAGCCGTCAACAAAGCCACTGACAAGAATACGCAGACGGCTATACTCATGAATATCTCACAACAGACACAGACTACAACACCCTGAATCACCAAGTGGTTTCACTGACAGCATTCACCTAATCAGCCAAGAAACGCTGACACGAATCGAAAAGAAAGAGAGACGTATCCAGACTGAGGAAAATCCTGACGAAGACTTCCGAAGATCAACCAGATCTTCCAAGAGACATCAACCTTTCGACATCGAGCAGACTAAAGCCCCTACAAAACCACGAAACATCGCCCTACGAAAGCTGCCATTCCAGCGCCTGATCCATCCCAGCCTAAGTGAGGCCGACTCCGACAACGACCGTAATATACGTATCTTTACATCGACTCTTCAACTGTCCAGTCCTCATTAAATGTTACTAAAATTATCAAATGTATTTTTCTATGAATATTAACCTGTGTCTTTTCTTCCACAGCTACTTCCGCGCCCTGGCTGTGAAAGTGGGTATTCTCGGAGTACTTTTTATTTAAATTCGAATCCATAGATCCCAACCCTGAAAAGAACCGCATCATTGTACATCAGACTATTAATTTATTTAATCTATATAAAACTAACGAACCAGTTCAGATGATCAAGCAAGTTTGAATAATATATGTTGAGTATTTCAAGCAGAAACGGATGTGTTCCGTCAGCATCTTTCTTCTCCCCTCAACCACAGCTCATACCGACTGACATCACCAACACGTGTATACAAAAGCCACATGTGCCAACAAACGCACGTGCTTCATCCACAGATACCTCTCCGTGATCCAGCAGTCAAGAAACAGCCCAGTGTAGGTCTCTTTCCTTCATCTTATTTCCAGATCTCCTCACAGCTTCTTCTGATGTCTTGTGTTAATCTCACTAGATAGATTAATATCACAATTCCTTTCACGGTAATCTAAACTTCTCAAAGTTAGGCGCCACTTAAATTTTAATCTCATAGTGGGGTGAAAAGAAACAGAAGTTTCTGACCGCCCCTGGTTGAATGAAATATATTTTAACCTTAATTCTCACAGTGTTTGTTGTCCCTTGGCATAATATTGGGCCCAAAAGTCCAACACATTAACAGATTTCTCTGTTTTCCAGATGAGCCTTAGATGCTTGATATCGGATTGAATATGAATGACTAAGAGGTATCAGTCCAATGTACAGTAAAATCACCAGAAACTTAATTAAATATATTGAAATAGGCGATATTGTTAAAATCTAGAATGAAATAACCCACTATTTTTTTCCATTTCTTGATCGTTCGTATGTGAGAAAGTCAAAGTTTACACTATTAAAGCATTTTTGACAACATACGTTGTGAGAACTTCGAACATTCTGTTTATTCTATTTTACACGAACTTTTAAAACACAAGTGAAATACATATAATGAAATGGAAGCCTTATGATAGATTTTTGCTTAAGACTTTTAGTAATGATTACAAGTCTTTTGTACACAAAAATCAGATTTTTTTAATAAAGTATCTTTACTAAAGATTTGTTTGTGAAAATATCGAGTCTGTTTCATTACTAGTCCGAGTGCAAAGTCATTTTCATGTTATGATTCAAAAACTATTCTACGTCCTAAAAGCCTCAAATATTATTTATGTAATCTCTAAAATTTCCTAAATACATTTCAAATGCATATTTTCAGTGAAACTATATACTTTTTCTGTTATTTTCTCTACACAAACTATATGGGGTCTGTCAATTTGACCGACCTCGTAACCACCATAGAAAATTATGAAATAAATATAAATTATGCTTTTTCGTTCTACAATGATTACAAATTATAACATGAAAACACAAATGTTTAGTCTAAAAGCTTAAACTTTATCACATTATACATTTGTATATATACTTATTATTTTTATTATATTGACCTTCCAGTCGTGCCTGGCTCATACCACAGAAGTTGCAATGACGGCGTACATGCACTCATCTTACCGTACGCAATAATATAAAACTGGCCTTTACAAACTGACCCGTCTTGGCTGTGTTTTATTGAACTAGTATTTTGAAAAATACAGCCACATTTCAGTTATAATACATTATATATGTACATAAATCATTACTATTTATAAATAAGTTCTTAAACTTATTTTTCTTAAAACGTAGAACAGTAAATAAAGAAGAATAGCAAATAATTATCTCTTCTAGTTACGAACTTTGTATTCGTTTGCTGCTTGCCATAGGTTGCTAAGCCTTATCAAATTTCGCACGTGGAGGATGTGAAACGAAATAACCAAAAATCATAAATTACTATATCAATACCATAGTTCTCCACTATAACTTATCAAAATTAGTAATTACGCTGTATTTGGGTCTGATGATATATACAAATTCGAGCTCACTAATGTCTCACCTTAGCAACATGAAGATTTGTATCGAAAGAACGTAATGACTTCGTAACACTTACAAATGGCTGAGAAAGCTACTAGGGGGACACTTTGTGCTTTCGATAGGTTATTCATATGTCATATACAGAAGTAAGTGCATATAAGAGACGGTTTCCAAAAATGGAAAGAGGAGAGCGGGACCACTATGTTTGATTTAGTGCATGGGCGATATCTCAGCAAATAGAAAGGACAGGAGGTTCTTATTTTACATTCTAGCTTGTTAGTATCGGTAATTTAAGTTCCTAATTCGTAAGTATCTGTAGACTTTCTAGTTTGACATCACAAACATCTAGTTTGAACCAATGCCACATTCAACGTACCACCCGACACACAAACATGGATATTTGAGTGTTTGTTTTTTAATCTACTTTTAAATTAAGAAATCAAGTAATGTATCATATTGAAATTTGAATTATAATCTACAGTTTGATAACAAGTTTATTGACATAATTTTATAAAATAGCAGTTCAATAAAATTTTGAATGCAAGTTAACAAACCCGAGACCCGTGGCGATAGGGATAATTAAGTAAGCAAACCTACGATAAACTATCGCTTCTAAAAATAACCATATTTATTACTAACAGAATACTTGAACCATCTAAATCATAACACTTGCATTAACTTAAACAGTCGCGTATATCTAAAACCTAGAAGAGTTAGCATCGTTTGTGTTTTGGTGAACAGAGCGTCTAATTTTTATCACAGCTAAGTAATTAAACTTTGATATTATGTCAAGCTCACATAAAAGCGTTGTTTCTAGAATTTTCTCTTTCACTGAAAAATACCCCCAAACTGTTTATATAGCCAGTTTTCACTTTGAATTTTTGTTTATAGCCATTCCTCTCTGGCTGCTGCTTTGGTTTGTTATTTCAGGAATATGAAAAGGCATGCGTATTTTTCTCATGTTACAATTGTTCATCGAAATATCATAAAGCAACCAATGTAAAATATAAAAACTGTAACCTTCATTGTCTCTCACTCTATACGTCAAATAGCGGGAATAAAAGTTGCTTTGAGAAGAACAAACTCTACACAAAACGTACTGCATTACAAAATGGATAGTTTTAAAGAAAGACAACAGCTAGTCAAAAATAACCTACACTGTTAGATGTATCTGTAATCGATTGGTTGAAAAATGATCACGCACATCAGCCTGGTTTAATTAGTGAAATAATATTTCGTTTGTACTGTAATGCTTGAGAAATATTTTTTGAATTCGTACAATCCCTCCATTTTTATTATGCAATTTTTTGAGATTTTGCTTAATCCACTATGAACCATTTTTAAATTTAATTAAGGGGCTTTAGAAAAACATTGGACAAAATAGCTCTACTTTAACTATCTTAATTTTATTCAAAACTTGATTTACATTTCCCGAACTTCAAGAGTATGGATATAATACGTAAATCCATGTTGCAGTGTGGGTTTTATTATAATAGAGATTTTCTGCACATACATTTATCGCAATTTCTTCTGAAAATGCCTAAAGATGATCTTATATATTTTGATATGTCTCAACAGTGTTCAGTAATGACTTTTTTTGTACACCCACGTGCTTACTCTTTCATTGCTTTCCAGTTTTACAACGAGTTCTATTACTCAAAAATACTGATCCTTGCACTGGTGAATATCGTACCATTAAACATACGAGCTCGGATTAGTTAAGAAAACTTGTGAGCTGAAATATCAACTCTTACGTTACAAGTGATTATCAAAGTAAGCTCTTAGTACAAGAACAATATTAGCAAGGAAGTAATTTTCAATTCAATGCTACATTTACTGTAATGTGCTTAACTTCAAGCAAACAAACAAACTTAAGTATCGCTATCCTTCTTATTGTGAAACTTTGTTTTCCTGCGAACACATCAATTGTTATTATCTCGACATCATTTCATTACCTTTTATCATCAGTTGTATTATTTTTAAAGCTACACAGTTGGCTATCTGTGCTCTGCCCACCAAGGTTACCGAAACCCGGTTTCTAGTGTTGTAAGTCCTCAGACATGCCGCTGTGCCACGTGGGGGGGGGGGGGACAGTACTTAAGATAAACAACATTGTTTATATATAACAAATAGGGCACAGATAAATATTTCGGAATTCAACAGATTCCGTCTTCATTTTCTAAAGCAAAATAAAAGAATTACATCATTCCTAAGTAAGTAACTTAGCTATAATAACTTGTAGCTATAATAACAGTAGTTTAATCAAAACGACAACAACATAGAAATTAAATGAGTAACAAACAAAATACTGTACATATTAGAAAATGTGCAATTTCAACGAAAATTGCATGTTGTTTAGTGTTGGTGAAAGTTGTTTGGTTTTTTCTTTGTTTTTCTGTTTAATTCTATGGGTTTCTTTTTGTTTTGTTTTGAATTTCGCGCAAAGCTACACGAGGGCTATCTGCTCTAGCAGTCCCTAATTTAATAAGTAATTTAAGTAATTAAAAAAATGCATTGTTTATCCAATCTAAAAGATTTTGGAGGCCCTGACTAGTGTGCTTCTGATAAGTTTTATTTGTTTAGGTTTAGTAGGTTTCGAATCTCCGTCCCACCAAACAAACTCGCCCTTTCAGCCGTGGGAGCGTTATACGGTGACGGTGAATCTCACTATTCGTTGGTAAAAGAGTAACCCAAGAGTTGGCGGTGGATGGTGATGACTAGTTACCTTCCCTCTAGTCTTACATTGCTAAATTAGGGACGGCTAGCGCAGATAGCCCACGTGTAGCTTTGCGCGAAATTCAAAACAAACAAACATATTTCTAGAAGAAAAAAAGCGCGAACTGCAAAAGAACTTCCGCTTACCAACAGTAACTTTTATCAGGCTGAAATAGCACTTGAAATTGTAAGTTTAGAATAAAAACTTGTGTTGAAGCTACAAAGGACGAACATAAATTCATGTTTCCAAGACCTGCTCGTAAAAGGAAATGTGTCTCGAAATATGCAGCATAAAATAAATAACATATTACATGTGAAATTGTTGTTGTGCTTTTTCTTCTTTATTTTCATAAAATTTACTTTTGCGAGTTTTTTTTTCCGATTGACAGATTATCAACTCACAAAGTGAACGGTAATTTTAAATTTGTTTACGTGGAATCTCAGTACATACATAATGTGTTATGACAAGTATCTGAATAAATTTTAAGAGTTACTTAAGACACCTCCGTTCTTATCCTGTTTTTAGCTGCAGACCCAAGCATTAAAAGCAATATCATCAAAGTTATCTTACAATGAAACACAAAGAATTTGTCGATATAACTGATTTACTACGATATATGTTGAAAAATCTTAAATACTGAAAATGAAAAGAGGTACTGGTTACAAATACCCTTTTAGGCTTAGACCATAGGCTAAGTAAATTCAACGTACGATCCAGGAAGTAAGGATTTCACGATCTTCGTTAACTTTGAAAATATAATCAATATGCTATTCGATAATCTTATGTTGCTTACACTTAGAAAAAAAAAGCATGGTTTAGTAACTGTATTATAAAAAGGTTGTCAAAATGTATCATAAATAACATAATTTTGTGAGCTGTGGAAAGCCATGCAATAGTATTCTCCTCCCTGCAAAGTTCCACATTTTTTGCCATCTGAGCTTGCAGTCATGAAACCTTCAAATGGGACTTTATAATCTACAGAATCTACTCGAAACTGAGAAAGCGAAAAAACGCTGATATTATTTAAGTAAATTAAATTTTCAAAGAAAATTAGAATATTCTCAATTGCAAAAA